ATGCTTAAAAATTTAATTTGAATTTTAAAAAGAAAAACAATATAATTTACAAGCCGATTTCATAAAACGTAAACGCACACACAACTGCATCAAAAATACGAATGTGCCAAAATAGTGGAACGTAAGTGAAAATTTCTAATTTCTTTGAATAACGATAACTGACTGCTCAAACATCATACACATTCGTCGCTTGCACGTGGTTTCAAGAGAACATTTCAAATTGGAAGTTGTAACTTAAAGCGTACGTACACAACACGGTCGTCACAGGTGTTAATGGCCGATAGTCAGGGGCGGTGACCCGGTACCAGTCATCGCATTAATAAAATTTAATATACACAGTAGTCGCATTGTATACGGAATAAATATTCATTAATCAGATGTATCGAAGAAAAATAAAATATATATATACTTCATCAGGATAATCAATAATCATCAGATATTGTTGTTCACACGTAGTGGTAACGTTTCCAAACAAAAGTGGGATACCTACACCGAGAAACCGATTCCCACGCGCTTTTGTAATAAATACCAAAAGATGGAAAAGTATAAATACGTATAAATCAACGGTTCTCAAATTTTTTTTTTCACGTACCACTTATGTATATTATCAATCAGACACTGATGATTAAAAATAGAACCAAACAAGCTTTACGTAGTTAAATACATTTATTTTAAATAAAAAGACTGTAAAATACTGCAGTAAAATTATTATTTATTTATTAATATAAATTTATTAATGTTTTTAAACTAATACATGAATTAAATATTAAATTTTGAATTTCCGTTCTGCCACCATGCGGCCTTCCGCGTACTACCATGTAGTCTTTGGCGTACCTTTTCATGTGTATTTATAAATAATAGTAATTAATAGAGTAATAATTTGAGTGTAAGAAAAAAAATCGTAAATTAAGTCGTTAGATATTTCATGCGTGTTTAATTTACACCATAAATAAAACTGCCTCCAAATGTATTTAATAAACGAAAACAGTAATAAACTTTTTCGTCGAATTTCAGATCGTAAATCAAAGAGAAAAAGGAATCAAAATAATTTACTCGTTTTACTTTCATATAACACACGCTGTAGGTCCAGATATAACGATGTGTATATGAAGTGTATGCATTCGCGGACACAATAGCTGAACAATTAATTATACCGTAGTAAACGCTATTATTTTAATACATGTGCGTGCGTGTGTGTGTGTGTGTGTGTGTGTGTGTGTGTGTGTGTGTGAATATGTATTATTTTTAGCTTCGAACCGAAAAACAAAGTATTATTATTTGTTGTGAATTATTATTATGATTATACTCTTCCACGAATGTATAATATGGCGAAGGCGTCAACCGCAACGAACAACACGTGCTGCAACTCCATAGCTAGGTTCTATGCGGTCATGTTAGCTACATTGTTGTTGTTGATTTTCAAATCGAATAGAAAATAGGCCGTGAATTCACACACACGGAAAAAAAACGTGGGTTCGTTATTCGCATTGTTTATTTTTATTATAAATATAATTTTATATTTCGTGGATCACAGCTCAAGAGTTCTCGGTGTGCATATAGTAATAATGTAAATGTTTTTTAGTGATTCACAGATTCATCGTATACGTTTTCAATCCGTGGGAGTATATGTTATATATTTTCTCGTCACCTTTACGCACGATAAATACGAAACGTGTTCGGATCTATATAGGTATATGTGTTCGGTGATATTAACATTATTTGACCCCTGCGGATTTCTCTGTCTCTCTCGCCAGCCAACTTGCTGCTGGACTTTATAGACATTGATGGTGGTAAATTTCGGGTCTCACATCCGGTACGTTAGATGATGATGATGATTATTATTATTATAATATATGTAATAATATAATATTGCTCGCACGCAGATGCCGCCGCCACTGCAACTCTAACCACGTGATTAATGACAGTTTAAAAGCAGCTCGAATGCAAATAACTCAGACTAGAAAGTGCATTTTTGGGATTAACTCGCATACCAAGAGAGCGTGTGTGTGCGTGTGTGTATATCTCGAAATATCGTTCGCAGTACAATAATGGCGTCATACGGCGATTAACAACGATTGCTCGCAGTGATTCAGCGAGTGTTTTTTTCACGTTTACTTAATGTCTACTTAAGCTATAGGTATTTGTGTAGACGACGTGTTCATGAATTATGAAGACGCTCGGAGTTATGTCATTTAAAAACGCTGTTGGATAACTCGTCTCTGTAGTTATTTTTAACCTGGACGATGGATACTAAAAACAAGAAATATCTTTATGTTCAAACAAATAGTTTCAATACATTAAAGCAGTTTTAAAAGGGTGGTATGAATTCTGTATTTAAAATATATATATATATGTATATAATAATTAATAACAACAAAAATATAATTTTTTTTTATGTTTCGATTATTTTTTAATTGTATCCGATTAACAATACGAAATAATTAACTGATTATATCTTTCAACTGAAAATACAGTCATAAAATATTTAAATAAAAAGAAACATTATACTATAACGTTTATATATTTTCGGGTTATTAATTGGTCAAAATAATACATGATATTTATCATTAACTTAACATTCGGTAAGACCTCAATTTATGCAAAGTGAAAGTAAAACGATACAAATTATTTTATTTTTCATATTTAAATATATACAGATTGTTCCATAATGTTTTAATACTTCGACCAATAACTAATTACTATAAACATTATATTACCTTAACATTCCTTTAAATAAACAAAACCAGTACTTATGGAGTATGTAAAATATATATTTACAAACATATTATATTATTGATAACTAGTATTTAAATAAAGTGTTTTGAATAAATCACTGCAATGAACAATTATAAATTAACTGTGTAGTAATCTTGACAATTTACATGAAATTATATGTACGAATACGTATTATACCTACCATTGATTAATTTATACCGCCGCAATAAATTCATAACGAAAGTGCGTTATTAATTTAATTTAGTACAAACCAAGCACTACTTTGTATGTACATTTTATTTATAATTATTTCAGTGTTGTTTTATTCATGCCAATATAATATTTAATTTATAATATCTTCAATTACATGAGCCGAGTATTTTATTTTTAATTAAAATCTAGAGAAATCAAGAGCGTATAAATTAACATCAAACGCTTGGATACGGTTTTTAAATACTTATCGTTTTCGTTGAACGTTATTTTTTGTGCAACAATTATGTCATATATTAAAATAAAACTTAATAGATTTTTTTATCATTAATTTTAATATTATATAACAATCCAATAAACTAAATATTGAAATAATATAGAATTCCCCCCCCCCCCAAACGTATATTGAATTAGATACTAATAACCTACAGTTATAAATACGGCAGTATATAAACAATGTATGCATATCAAATCTAATCTATAGTTATAGTATTGTCATCTTGTTGTTCAAAATTAATTAACGATCATTAAGACGCAATGTCATCCATACAAATTCGGTTTTGTCAGCAACACTTATTGTTTTCGAAATATATGTACACGAGTATAGGTACTATTAATTATTATTATTGTTACGATCGCACCTTTATTGCGGACATCATAAGAACAAGATTAACTGATCATGTTTGTATATGACACTTAAAATAAAACAAATCTAATATATCCCACCGTGAAGATTTAGAAGAGGTCGCGTATTACCTTCTTTGGCTACCGGTCGATCGGACGGCGGTAGTCACGGTCGTTTCGCAATTAAAAAAAAAAAAAACAAATCCACGTGTTTGACTGGTGTTTTTGTATATAAATACTGTATGAAAAATATCTGATGTGAAAAAAATAAAAAATAAAACAGGAATTATTGTCTATCGCTTATAAAATATATAGTTATGTCACCGAATATATATATATATATATACACGCATAAATGACATTCCGATTTTATGATTTTCAATGTATACCTTATTTTTACTGTTACTGTTTGGAAAATTTTCCACATCATAACGCGTGCGTACGGTAAATATACGGAACCGAGTGATTTCCACGGCCGGAAATCGTATGTGTATATAATATGGTAACACACACACACACACACACACACAATACTACGATCATAATATTATTCATTCCGTTCGTGGTTACGAATTAATATAATACGCATAATAATATATTATGATACCACATTTTTTAATTTTTTTTTTTTATAAACGTAACTGCCGCAGTATAACCGTTCGATCTGCGCGAACGGTTGATATCGTAGCGTTAAAGTCTCCCGGCGACGACGCGTTGCGTAACTGCTGCAGTACATTACTGCAGTACATACATTATCGTACCTATTTTTATTCGTGTTTCTCAGTTCGGTGAGCGCGCGAAGGAATCTGTTCGAAAATTCGTTGGAATATTACTCGATATAATAATCTAAAATACGCACCCGATGTGTCATAATTTATTTTTTCTCTCCGTCCCGTCTATTATACGCACGTGTGTTATAATAATCGACAACGACAGACGTAAAAGTTTTGCGCCTTCCGCTTTCTAAGAGGGAAAGCAAAATGCACACGCCTTCACCACGAGTCTGTACAGACACACATATATAGTCACCGCGGTGGTATAGACGCACGTTGCGGTTTTGTCGTGCGCACGTACCCAGCACACTTGGTACAACTAGGTAACAAATACTAACCTAACCTGTAGTAAACGGCGCGGGGTAAGCGTTTAAAATACTATAATTACCCGCGTCGTAATACGGACGATTGTGCGCGGATGTAGGCGCGCATTATTGTTGTACATGCGAGGGGCGCACATGAAAGCGTAGCGCTTAAACAACTTCAGGTACGCGTTGCAAAACGGTACAAATAATACACATAAATAATGGAATAGTATATATATATATATATATATATATATAGGTATAGATTGAGTGTCGAGAAGATGTACAGTCGAGAAGAGAAAATAATAACGAACATAAATGCAGCAGCAGCAGTTTGACGTGCTGCGGTATAATGCGTGCATCGGGTACTTACTAGGCGTGCGTGCAGCGCGGCGGTTCTTCGGGGACCGTCCGGTCGTGGAGTTGTTGTTCGGGCGACAACCGCGGTTGTGTATCGCCGGCGTGTACGCGCGCGGACGAGTGTGTTTTGTTCGATACGAAATATTTGTTGATTGTATATATTTTATAATGATACGATTGTGTTGTACCGGTGAATCGCGTGAGATATTATTGTACCGCGACGGCGTTGCGTGCAATGAGACAGTGTTGCGGCGACGACGGCGGACTCGTCAAGACGTGTAGTTCATCTCCTCGAGCGAGCACTACTACGACTAGTACTGTACTACCACTGTTATACCGTGGTACGCACTCGTGTGCGGGTCGGCGGCGGCGGGTTTGACGGTCGGCGCGCGTCCGCGAAATAATGCAACGCGTTCTCCTCTCGTCGTCATCGACTCTTCTCCCCGTCGTATCGCGCGCGCCTGTTTGCGTGTGTGTTCGTGTATTTATGTGTGTAAGTGTGTATGTGTTAGTACGTACAAGCGAACGTATACTGTGTGCGTGCGCGTGTTTCCGGGGGGAGGAGGGGGACACTGCTACTGCTGTTGCGGGTGACCGCGCGGGGGATGTCGACGAAGGCGGATCCGCCGGCATCGCTCTGTTCCGACAAGATATATTCTGCGGTGGAGGGACGACCCTTTTACGACAATTTTTTCGGCTATATTAAACGCTTGTAAAAATTCATTGATCGTTTCGGCCGTTGATGGGTTCTGAAAAAAATACTATGACATCGTACACCGAGGGACCCTTCACCTAGTACCCAAAGCTGGGCCTTGACCAACAAATCCTACTGTGATATCTGCCATAGATAAATTAGGCGATCGACGTCATTAGCCTCTTTTGCTTCCCGGCCGACACCGGGTGTGACAACTGCAAGTGCGTTAATACAATATCTCCAATTGATATGTACATAGGTATAAATACAACACTTATGGATTAAACAGTTACCACAACCTCGGTTCAAGTCATAATCGAGTATTTCAATATACATGATTCAATGAATGCACGTAATGTGATAGTATAATACAGGTGTGAGATACAGTCGTTTTAGGGTTGTAAAATATTGAAAGGAAAGTGTGTACATTAACACTTGTTTTACTCGTACAACAGTTTTAAAGCTTCTAGCAGACTCTAAGGTTCATAGCCATTCCCAGAGACAGAACTAGGAATTTTTACATCCAGAGAAAATGTTAAAATTATACCCGATTGATAGAACAAGATTCAAACACCTTTTTCTAAAATTGTTTTCTAATAATTAGCGTACAATCATACTTATAGAATTTTTAAACACATTATCAGTAATAAAATTAAAAATATCAGACTTGTAGTCAATAATAATGTACTTCAAAAATTACACCCTCTATAATTTTACACCTGAAGATTTATGGTCGTCTTCTCTCCTTGGTTCCGCCATTGACTATCCCTATATAGTAAGATTGCGAAGCATTGGCAGTTTATAGAATTTTTTCTGGGGGTAGTCCTTTGATAATGCATTATAATATAATAAGACACAAAAATATTTAATTTTTTTTGAATAACCCTACTAATGACTTGTCACTTAAAATATAATTCTTATATAATCGAAAAAACATAATATAATACTTTAAACCCGAGCGTCTCGAGCGAATAATATATCTCAGTCCGAACTCAGGATCTGGACTTCCCTCTCCGTAAAACCCCCATTGGTGCAAAGGATAATACAGCGATCCAGCTGATCAATTGGGACAACGTATCGGCCATTGGAACTATTAAAAGACTATTATTATGATGTTTTCCACATTGATCTGATATACAGTGTTGTACAATTCTAAAACTGAGTATAGGGTATCCCGGCAACCGCCGCAACGATATTTAGGTACACAAGTATATATAATAGTATTATAGTGGACAATAATAACTGTGGTAAGACCTAATAATAATAATATAACAATATAAGATATTCTGTCTTGCACGGCGTGAAGCAGTGCGAGTGTGTAATGCGTGAAGGACGACCACTACTAGGTTAGACTCACACACACACATATATATAAGCTGTATATTATATACTCGTATATTTATATGTAAGGAGAAGGTACGCCACTAAATACGTGGCGGCAAACGTATATCATTACTGTTATTAGTATCCTCACTACTACGATATACAAATGTTATGATTATTATATATACGTGTATGTGTGTGTGTGTGTGTGTGTGTTATCGTTATAATGTTATTACGCGGTGGCCACGTGCGATCGGAGCGCTCAAAGAATCTCCACGAGAGGTACATGCGCGTAATACCACGGGGTATAGCACCACCAGCGAACGGGGTAGAGCGTTTCACTTTCGACGAGACTGTGCGCGCGAGAGGGAATCTTCATAACGCGCACGTGTACGTATGTACATCGCCACGACGTGGAGGCGGCGAAATGAACGACTCTGTGCATCTACTGCTCGAGGGACCGGTCTTTGCGCCTAAATTTTACCGCCGCACCGCGCAGACGTGCCGCCGATCGGTATGTTATTTTTAATCTCGTCTCCTCCTCCTCCTCCACCACCACCGACTCACCCGTTTCCTACCATGTCGTCGTACATGTACAGTACAGCAACACCTGTATATAAATACGTGTAATTTCGTATATATGTATATAAGTATATAATATACAGAGTGATTCGTTTAACGTAACTCGATCTGTATCGATGGAAAAATGCGATAGGAGTTTGACTCTTTAATCGAAGATCCGGAGCCGAATCGGCGAACTACGAGGTGTTCGAATTGCCACCACCACACACTCGAACACGTACACAGCCAGACAAACACGCGACCAAAAATTAAATGAAAAAAAAATCGATTAGATTTAGTTAGGTGTATAATAAGTGGTTTTATTTTAACATACCGTTCTAATACCGTTTGAGAATACGGATAATGAAATTGTATATGATCAGGAGAGCGAAAAAGTAAAAGAGTAAGAAGACACCAGCGTATCGGAGTATTTTTAAAACCCAAGGTAATAACTGAATGTGTCACCTCTAATATAATTTAACACAGGAGTAAATAGGAGAAAATGTTTGTATTTTAATCGTTCTTTAATTACCCTTTCAGTATCGTGTAAAAAAAAATACCAAAACAGACTAAATCACGATAGTCACTCATATTTTTCGTAAAATAAAAATGATTCACGCTCAAGGGCGGAATAACCTGTTAAAATACCATGAAAAATCCAGTTGCTTACTGGACTTAAATATGAATAGCATCAAAATACAATTCAAAATTAACAACTTTTTATGAAGATTCACACCATCTCCTCCTCCTCAAAGTGAATATGTACCGTAAGTCTTTAGTTAGATTTGTATTAAATGGTGTGGAACATGTTGGGTTGTTGTGTTGATAAATGAAAGAACACTAAATGAAGGTTTAGAAAAAAGGTTTTAACAATCATTAATAATATTACATTCATTCATGACCTGTACTTAAATTGAATCATATTTTAAATAAATAATAACAGTTTAATAAAATATAATAGTTGGTTTTAATATAAATTTTATTATATTTGATTTGGCTCTGGATTCTAGTAAACATTTTACTGTGCCAAATAATATACTTGTTTTAACTCTTTTAAATCAAAATTATAAATATTTTAATTTGTTACCTAATTTTTAATGATGCAATAGTTGTTTAAAACTCTTATCTTTCTCATTCGTACAGTATATTTGATTGAAACACTTTTGAAAGTTAATATTTTATAATTCGTTTCAATAGCGATAAATTTCACGTGTACATAAAATGTAAATTGAATAGTTATAAAGGTAGATATAAAGAATAACGGCCTGAAAAAAAATTATTTTCCCGATGCTGAATTTCGGTTTTATTATATTAAGAATTATGTGGATACACGAGTGAGGAACCTCTACAAGACTGGGATATTTATTGCATACATTACGACTGTCAACGCAGGAATGCTTACACATATTTGTCTAATAATACATAGGTAGTATTGGTTGGTACCTTACGCGTAGATATTACACAGATTATTACGTCAATAAATATTCATATAAATATGCACGTATAAAATATAGGTACAAGCCAAACCTATTCCGTTTGCCAAGACGTTTTCTTTCTGCCCCCGCTGTCACCGTCCGATACCGCGTACAAACAGGATGTAGTACACACACACACACACACACACACACACACACATAGACATATACTAAATGTAATAACACAACGGCTTGTACTGCATTGCAATGAACTTGTGAACTTGGCTCAATGTTACAGACAAACGCCACGACGAGGATGTCTTTTAAGAAGCGTGATAACATTGTAATGGTCCAGAGCTCATATTTTGAGAAGGGAGAACGTAGACAATAGCTTCTAAAGAAAGTCACAATCAAGTTGCATTGAGTTATTACAGGATTTTATAGGATAACAGACAATTTCGAGTTATAAGGAACATCCGAATAAACATATTCCTACAATAATATACCCATTAGTATATTATGTCGTTCCAATTATGCTATTTAGATAGCAAAAATTCGCTCTACGGTAAAACGAGTGCGCCTATCTTATATGGTTAGGTAAACGTATAACAATACGTATATAACAACGTACATTACCGATCAGATGGATATTGCAAAAGCTGTAGGCGAAACAATCAACGCTTATTTTTTCAAATATAGAAAGAATATCACGCGAAACGCAAAAACTGAAGGTATAAAGTGAGCCACGTTGAGCAGATTTTCAATTTACGAATTTTTTTTTATTTTCATCAATCGTTCGTACCTTAGTTATACTGTGACAACTTATACATTTAATACCTTCATAATTTCAACATTTTACATTAATTGTTTGCGATATATACGTATCTATACATGCACGAAAGAAAAAACGCGTGTACACGATCCGCGACAAGGTACACACTCGCGCGCGCGCACGTGGTCCTTTGTTGTTGCAATTGTACAACTATCACATTCGTGCTGCGTATAAAATATACGACGTACAGGCACATAATGAAGGAACCCGATACCATAAATGTAGCAATCGATAAACGATCAACGCGCAGTGGTTTATGGCAAAAACATTTAAGCGCGACAAGAATTAGATCATTAAGACTGTGCCTAACTGCCGTGTGCACTACGAGTCTTTCGACTCCGGAAATTCAACCGTCATGAACTCAGTACATAGCATTATTATTGGTGGCTTTGGAGTTCGATTTTTGATAGAGCTTGTCGGTTCCGTATTATCTACTGCGAGGTGGTTCAACCTTTTGTAGTTGACGGGTCAATTTACACTTTCATAAAAACACTGGGTGCCGCCATAAAAAAAAATGATATTATTATCCAGTAAAATCCGCAGTCCATAATCGTAATAGTCATTATTAGGTGATGATATAACTA